AAACACAGTTGGCTTAGAAGCAGCTATTTAAAACATAGACATCTATTTTCTTCGAGACAAATCATATCAAGTCAACTGCTAATGCCTGCTTTTTAAAAAAAATTGTATTTGAACATGATTATAGCATCACAGGACATTGCAAAAAATGTTTTCCATTTTGAGCGGGTAAGAAGGCTGGTAGCTATTAGTCCTGTCTTTAGATTTCAACAAGGCCTTTCTTGGAGTCTCTCATGGCATTTCCTATGCAGGGATGGGAGTTATTTAATGTGGCTCTTCTGGCCAGTCTCTTAACTCCACCAAACCAGCCCTCCCTGCTTGATTCTGGTAAGAAGGTGGGTGGGGGGGGGGTTTGAAGATACTCACAGGATTCACCTGGGAGTAATTGGGAACAGGCTTCTCTGAAGTGGCATCCTGCTGCATATAAAATGAGCCCACTGAGGAGAAGTAGGGGCTGGGAATCTCATTACCAGCCAGTGCCAGGAGTGGAGCGTGCCCTCTGGACCCAAGATCCTTACACAGTGAACCTTGTAGATCCAGATGACAGCTACAATGTCAGAGAAGCAGCAGTAGAACCAGAAGCCAGATCATGGGACAGAGTAATGGGCTTCCCAACCCATGGGAGAAAAACAGTGCTTTTGTGCAGGAGGCTGCTGTGTAGAATGGGGAGCCTCTGGGCACTTATTTGGGGAAGTTGAACTTGCTGACCTATGGAAGTGAAGCTGAGTGCTTCCGAGCTGAGGGGCTCACTGGAGTAGGAGCGCCTTGGCGATGACGCCCACCTCCGCCTTGGGGGCCAAGTGGAAGTAGAGCTGCGCCACCGCCATGACCACGGCGGCGCTGCGGCTCTGCAGCAGGGGCTTTGTGTTCCGCAGCAGCAGCCGGTGGTCGGGGTCCATGACGTAGGGCTTTCGGGCGGGCAGCGCGGTGGCGGCAGCCTCCTCGGGCCCGGGTCCCTTGGCCTCATCCTCCTCCGAGCCATAGAAGGCTTTCTCCGGGTTTTCCTCTAGCAGGGATTCCTAGAGACAGCAAGACAGGCCGAGTGCGGGCGCCTCCCCGGGTGACCTCCACACCCGGCCCGCCGGGGGTTCTGGGGCCACTCACGTTCTGGGTGGGGCTCAGGAACTGGGTGCGCGCGTAGCGGGTGAGCATGCTGATGATGACAACCTGGCCCCACTCCTCCACGTCGATGAGCAAGTTGCACAGTTTCCGGTAGTTTTTGTGAATGAGATCGATGCGCTCGGGGCACACCTCCTCGAAGGCCATCACCACGCTGCCGGCCACCAGCTGGAGGGCGAGCCGAGGCAAGCGATGAACGGGAAGGCAGGTGGGCACCTGGCCCGCACCCACCCACCCTCCTTCCGGCCTGTGCGATCTAAATACGCACTGTGGTTTTGTCCGCCAGAAGCTTCTCAATCACTTCTATTAGCTGGTCTTTCTGGTCAGAGTCCAAACTGAGAGGGAAATGGTTGAGGAAGGATTGTACTGTCCCGCATTGTCAGCTCATAAGAGGTCAAAAACGAAACTCACTGTCAAGTGGACTCAAACTCATGGCGGCCCCACAGGGCAGACTAGAACTGACTCTGGGTTTCCAAGACTTTCCTTCTTTAGGGGCGCAGGAAAGTCTACCTTTCTTCTGCAGAGTGACTAGTGGATTTGAATTGCTGACCTTGCTACCTTAAGAAGTAGGCCCATCCTGCGACCCCCTCCATAACCCTTGTTCTCCACCTCCAACTGCCTTAAATCGCTTGGAGGGCAAAAAGAAGGGCTGCCTACAAGGCTTCATTTGAGGTCTTGAGTGGGCTGAGGGCTTGGGAACCATTCCCCGGGGCTGAAGGGCAGGGGCTGGGACATACCTGTACAGTTTAGGGATTGCATGGGCAGCTGTTTTCCGGACGTAGGGTGACATGTCCGAAGCAGCTTCTTTGATGGCCAGCATCATGATGGGCACTATGATTGGCACACGGATGCTAGAGAGGACACGGAGGGCGCTGGCCCGAATCAGCTGGTTGGGGTCCTAGGGCAGAGGTAGATGCAGAGGTATGAGGACATGAAGTGCCCTGATGGGAAGGGTGCATCCTCTACAAGCCAGGTAATCCTCAGAATTGTTAGCTGGTCCTCTTCAAAATCATTCCTCCTTTTTCCTCTCTCCCACGAGTGCCCCATATTCTTCCAGTGCTACTCATATTCTTCAGGCGCCGAAAGCAGTGTGTGTAGACCTTCCTCTTTGCTCCTCTTACATCCTAGACACAACTGATAAGAATGCTAGACACCAGCATAGAAGTCATGGGACACAGGGCTCTCTTCCCATTATTAGCAGCAGCAACTGTAAATCACTGTTAATCTTGGAGCATTACAGAGAGTCGGTAAGGTGAAGGATAGATGTTACCCTAATTTTCTAAAATAAGATTCACAAAATTACAAGTGAAATTGGTGGCAATCCCTACTAT